TCCCGCTCCAGCAGGCCGCAGAGAATGGGGGTGGGAGAAGACTCCAAACCTCCCTCCACCCGCTCATTGTAGTGTTGATGCATATGTGTTCTAAGGTGCAATTAAAACCCAGGAGGGCATGGAGCTACCTGCCTTCTTTGAATCTTTCGATGAAATTATGTGCTGTCAGTGATGAGGTGCTCTAAGTCTGTATTCAAAGGAACAGTATTATAAAACTCTTCCACAATTTGTGAAATTGACCTAATTCGTTGCAAAATGTTCATCCAGCTGGGTTTTTTTTTTCTAGCTAATCGTTTTCATTAACTTGTCAAATTTCCCAGTTCAAACATTTATGTTCTGTTGTGAATAGAATTGGGTTTATGGGATTCTAATATTACTGCATTCTGCTTTCATTTACATTTTACAACATCCCAACTTTGGATTTGGGGTTATATTTTAATTACATGAAAATAAATACTGTTGCATTGCTTTTAGGTTACCAGAACATGTGCAACTTTGTAATTAGCGAGCTTTCAAGATGTGCTTGTATCCAGATTTTGCTACCTTTGGAGAGCCAGGCTTGATGCTTTTCCTTGCTGTAGCATTGCAAGTTGGTTATTTCCCATTTAAGCATTAATGATACTGCTTTTCCCAAAATTTCAAACTGCTTCATATGTCAACATATGTGAATTTTTAGTCTCCATTATTTTCTTTCTTTATAGCGAGGAGACTGAGAGATGCCACCTGGCAGGAGCCAAAGAGACTGTATTTGGTGAGTGTAGTTTCAAATTCGTAGTCATCAATGGTGTTATTTAGAGACTGGCTAATTTAGCGGATATTAGCCATTTATCAATTTGCTGGTATTGTTATTTATTAACTGTTAAAAAAATCAAAAAGTAGAGAAACAGCATTTAATGAAATTATGAGTGTTGATGTCGCATAGTTTGTCCACCAGTGGACAATCTGCAACTTCTCTACTGGCAACACAGCACAATCTCAATTCAGCTCAATTAACAGTCACCTCAAGGTGTTTTATATTGAAATGTAAAGACCCTTCAATAATAGAGAGAAAACCCCAACGATCATATAACCCATTATGAGCAAGCACTTGGTGATAGTGGAAAGGAAAAACGTCCTTTTAACAGGTAGAAACCTATTAGTTGATCAGCCAGAGATTAATAACGAAAAACGATTTGATGCAAAGTGGTGTATAACCACATAGTGATAAGAGGTGACGGAAGAAGAAATGCATCTAGGGAAGGCCCTAGCAGCCTAGGCCTATTGCAGTGTAACTGAGGGATCAACAACCAGCTGATCTGAGCAGACTTGGGTGAGTAAATGAATAAAAACACGCAACAAATGTTGGATCTAGTTCATATTCTCGTGCGTGTGTAAGAAAAAAACAAAACACTGACCCGATATATTGGAATGTCGGATTTTTGAATCGCCAAATAATTGCTTTTAAAGTCTTATAGTGTTATATCCACTTGTGAATTATACACCTTCCTCAGTTTAAACGTCTTATTACTCATCAGAAACTCTTGAGGGATTCAAGGCAGAGTGCTGTAATTAAGCCTCAAAAATTACACACACACGTGTGTGTGTGTGTGTGTGTGTGTGTGTGTGTGTGTTCATAAAATCTTAAAGGTCCATTGTTCCAGAACTGTTTTATCTCAAAGATCATCATTGTTTAAAGACGAAGCAAAACTGAGCCCAGGAGAGCTGAACACGCTGCGTGACTACATGCTTTTTCTTTTGATGTTTCAGTGAGTTTAGAACAGGCTGAATTGTCTGTGCGCCCCAACACTGCTTTGTTAGTGAGGACAGTATAGCTATCATCAAGGTGTTATTCAGTGCTGACTCGTTCTACGTTATGCCATATTATATTTGATCTGTTAGAGAGCAGTTCAGCAAGAACAGCAGGCGACAGAAGCATCAGGGAGCTGTTGGTGGTAAACTGTGACCTCGAGCCAGAGTGCATGGACCTGGAGCTGAGAGTGGCTCTACAGTGGATCGCTGCCTCGGAGCTAGGCCTTCCTGCTCTCTACTTCAGGAAGTCCAAAGAGAAGAGAGTTGCAAAGGTAGGCAAAGCTGCTGGCTTGTCAAATAATACATTTATAAGCAGATCATGTTACTGATGTGTTGTTTTTGCTTTTTGTTCTGGTCATTTTCTTACCTGATTTAACTGTGGGGGGGGGGGAGAATCTACAGCTCATGAGACTGTACCTTTTTTTTTTTTTTTTTTTTTTTTTTTTTTGTCCCAGTTCCTGAGGGTGGTCCACCTGATGTCTCAGAAGGCGTGGAGGATTGCAGACTTGTTTGACGCTGTGGTTCAGTTCTGTAAGATGCACGAGAAAGCGGAAGAAGCGGGCAAGTCTCTCCAGTCAAGCCTGTTCGATTGGCTTCTGGAGACACTTTAGGACACTTGCCGCCTCTAATCGCAAACAGTAACAATACAAGCTCACTCATTTGCTCACATTTGTAACATGTTCCTGTTTGCGCGTGTATAGTCTCATCACACCAAGTGTCTCCTACCGAGAGCTGAAAGCACGATGCAATCGGCATACTTGAGAAATTCATACCTCTCACCCTTGTCCAGTTGGACCGATCTCCCTTTAACGAGAGGATGTTCTTGTTTCCAGAGTTACCTCTCTAGCGTCATGCACGCAAACACACGGCAAACTGTAGGTACACGGGTTGGACGTTCCTGATGGGAATGAATGAGCCCTCCAGTGATCATAGTCAGCAGGTTCTAACTGCTCCAGATTATATAGAAAATACATATTTACAAATTCACACAGTCGAATCATGACTTTATTTATTTATTCACTCAGAGAAAGGTACCTATAGGACATACTGTAGGAAAATCAGGTTGTAGCCTTCCCACAGCTAAACATGCTCAAACCTTTTGTATTAAAACTACTTTTAAAAGAGGCTCTTTAAATCTAAGCCCAAAAAAGCCCTGACACTTACTTCTGATGGTCACATTGAAGTGCACATTTACTTAATGTAAGTAAAAGGTCCAGATTTTTGTTGTCCATTGGCTAACGTACCACCTCTGTTGTGACTTTGAAACTCAGTACGTATGATATTTTATTCATGTTACTTAAGGGATTATTTTGGATAGCTGTACTGTATATACTGTAGATTTTGAACTGCTGCACCTTGGAGTAGTGGACCGCTCCTTTAGCTTTTGCTATGTCTAAAAAGACAGAGTAAGGTTTGTAATGTTGAATTTGTATGTGGATTTGGTCAGTATATTTCTCTACTTAGTGGTAATCTTGTGTTACAACAGCATCGCGGGGGGAAAAGCACATGACACAGCTGTAAACTTGGTCACAGTAGAAATGAATGTATTTATCTTTTGACATCAATAAATTTCTGTGATGTGAAATAAGAGCAAGTGTTGTGTCATTTGTAAACCAGGGAAAATAAAATCTCAATATTCAGGGGTGCATTTATGCACACTATTACACTCCATTGAACTGTTTCCCCAAAAAGAGAGAGAATTAAAACTACTAAACACAACCATACTGATAGGTTTATTATTGTAGTTTGCATTCAGGAACGGTGCTGTATACAACTGATGCATACAACTGTATAACGCCAATTCAAAACGGCAGTCTCCTGCAATATTAGAAACCCCAAGAAACACACAAACCCCTGTGAGCAAGCTCTCTGTGACAGTGGGAAAGAGAAACTCCCTTTTAACAGGAAGAAACCTTTGGTCGACAGAACCTGGCTCAATGAGTGGCAGCCATCTGCTGTGACTGGTTGGGGGTGAGGGGAAAGAGAAGGTAGTATGAACAAAAAATATTGGCTGACTGTTTCAGTGGTGGTGTCCTATTACAGTCCCACATTTTAATTGAATGAGCTCTTTAGAAAGACATTTTCTCACAAAGGCAGACTGCGTGGCTAGGTGCTTGATTTTATACACTTAATACATTTGAATTTAAAGATTTAGTACTGTGGCCCTACAGCTCTGTTCATGTATGTAGGTCTAGCACAAATCTATAAAAAGGTATAAAGGTTTTATAATCTAAATCTAAATCTCCTTGTCATAAAAAATCCATAAAACCATATTTCAACACAGAGCTTTAAAGTAGCAATTTGAGAATTCCCAAACGTCATAGTTTTTAGTTGTGTGATAATACGGGGACTTGGCGAGAAAAACACTGTTCTAACATGCCAGCTATGACAGACACTTTATAGAGCTGCCTGCCAATTTTCCATCAGTTTCAAACCACCAGCTTTTTCATGAGCTCTCGAAAGAAGATAAAGATATCTGATTGAACATCATGTTTGGGAGATTTAAAATCCATATGTCAATACAGAGAATTTCAGTCACAGACTGCAAAAGGATAGTCAATGTATTTTCAGTCTGGGTTGGACAATAAATCTGCAGTTTGAGTGATGAAGAACAAGAAATTCTTTATTGTCAAAGCAAAGGTGAGTGCTAATTAACTAATGGTAGGCAGCTACCCAACAGTATTTAGAGGTTTCAGGGTCACTACAGTCAACACTGTGGGGCAGTATTTGACAGGTTAGTAATATGTTAGTTGGGTGTACACAATGTAACATGACATAAATCTAATCAGAGCTTTTTCCAATGTCAGTTTAAATTACCCATGACTAACAACCTTAGTGTGGACAAGGAGGAATGTATGTGATTTTTACGTTGCACTTGTATGGAAGGGACTTTGCAAGCGTTGCTGTGCGATTTGTTTGTCACTGTGAACAGAGTCACAGACTCATTCAGCATGTTGTATAGCAAAAAATAGTGGTGGGAAGCAAAGGAAAGCCTGTGTTTTCTCATCAGGTGGGCACTCCTACAATGATGTGAAGTTACCTGAAAACCTGGTACTATATGATGTACAGTTAATCCATCTATTTCCTATAACGTCAATTATTGCTTGAACAAAACAAACAGTTTTTGAAATTGAAGAATTCGACTCCTTTTGATGACATCTTCTGAGCAGAGATTCCAAGCTGCTGTTGATTTCTAGGACCACATTAACTTCACACAGAAGTCAAAGTTTAAACTGAGCAGGAGTTTGTGATTTTTTTTTTGTGTTTTTCTTTTACAGTAGTCCACAATCGAGCAGACACAAAGTGGGCAATATTTGGCAAACACAATTTGATTGTTGTGTTCATGTAAATGCCCTCCTGAGCCTCAGGTAATGTTCAGTACCAGATCCGGCATGTGTTATCCTTGCTGCCTGCAGGGAAGCACAAATACAAATGGATAGCTGCACAGAAGGACACAGCTGCACGCTTTTCATCTAAAAACTGCAATTAAGCATTTGTGACGGTTGTGATGAAGAGTACATTTGCCTCCTACAGCTACATTTTAACAGTGTACGATGGTCAGATGGGGTTTATGTGTGTTTTCTGTGTCAGTTCTATGTACCTGTAATGATTGTGTCACCCTCGTAGTTGAAGACGCAGGAAAAGATCTCGTCTGTGTGCCCCTCCAGGACTTGTAAGCAGACTCCAGAGTGAGCATCCCAGAGCCGAGCTGTCTTGTCTGAGCTGGCAGTCAGGACTCTGGTGCCCTGAGGGCTGAAACAGATCTACCAAGAGAGGCAGAGCCAGGACAGTTAGCCTTTTTTCGAGGGTTGTGGTACATTTGCAACAAAGTTGCTGAATAAGAGATTATGCCAGAGAAAGTAGAAATGACATGAGGGGTGGAAATGGGTGAGTCTAGACCAATTTTACCATATCAGTAGCATTATTCCATTGAGGTCATTCAACTTAAAATGCTTAAGGAGGATAAAGGCACCAGTGGAACTACTCTGAGATGATAGAGGAGCGTTATGAAAATCATGGCTGAAACTGATTGTATTATAGTCTGGGTTTATCCTTCCCTGAGTGGTTTTATATCCTAACAGTGAGGTAAAGGAAGGGATGATTAAATGAAGTTGGCCCTAGATGGCCATGAAAGTAAAGTATGTTTTTTTATTAAAATTCTAAACTCAGTGCCAACGAGAGACCCCCAGACAGGAAATGGAAACTGTCTAGAGAAGAAGCTGGCAAGGATAGAAGATTGAGGTGTGGGTGGGGGGGTGTGTGTGGGTGGAAGCTATGACAGGTGCCAAAATGGAAGGTTGATGTTTTAAAATGGACAGCGAAGAGAAAAAGATCAAAAAGAGTAAAGGAATGAGATAAAAAATAAACAAAGCTGATGAGTGTCTCAGTTGTATACTGCATATTAAAGTGGACATGAAACACTATGTGTAGAAAGGCTAAATTACATCATGGAGCACTAGTCCAATGTCACTGTCTGAGAAGCTGGATTTAAGAAATAAGTGTTTTTAAGGTCATATGTTGTGTCAGTACACAACAAGACGTCACAGGGTTGTTTTGTTGGTTGCTGCCTTACATTAGTTTATGTTAGCTAACTAGCGATAGAACCAATACCTCAAGGATAAAAATACTAAGTAGCTAGACTGATCACTTAGGTTTGAGGGCATTCATTCATGTGTACAGCTCTCTTAAGCTCCAGTCACAGCATTTTAATCAGTTTGAGTTCTCGACTTAAACCGGGCAATTGCAACACCCTGACTCTTTACCTTTTCAGCCATTCTGTTGTAGATTTGCTGGTCTGTTTAGAAGCACTGTCCCACTTCATTACATAACTTAGTCCAAGCCTCGTATTTGGCTCTAGAATATTTTGGTATACAGAAAACGTCACAGACACCTCAGTGACTCCAAGTTGCTCCGGACCTGCAGCTGCAAACTAAGACTAAACCATCACCCCTCTACCGCTGTGCTTGACAGTTTGTATGAGGTGTTTGTGTCGATATACATTTTCTATTTCGCAGTTTTGGAAATATCCTCATAAACACTGCATTGTGGACAAACATCTCCACTGTGGTCTTGTCTGTTAAAAGGATATTGCTTTCTCCAGGCACCTTCACAAACAAGCCAAACTTGTTCAGTCTGTTTCTCTTTATGCCATTATGAACTTTAACATTTAGCATGCTAACTGATGCTGATGATCAATAAATACATTTGATTTGCAACAGTTAGCAGTTACTTGTCCTCTTAACCCCTATGGAAGCAACAAGGGCAGGGGTGCCCAATCCCGGTCCTCGAGAGCTACCGTCCTGCAGCTTTTAGATGCATCCTTGTTCCCACACACCCGAATCAAATGAATGGCTTGTTATCAGGCCTTTGCCAAACACGATGGCATGCTGAAGAGGTAATCAAACAATTTGATTCAGCTGTGTTGGAGTAGGGATGCATCTAAAAGCTGCAGGATAGTAACTCTCGAGGACTTGGATTGGGCAGCCCTGAACAAGGGTGTTCTTAGCCAACTCCAGGCCTCGAGGGCAGGTGTCCTGCAGGTTTTAGATCTCACCCTGAGTCTACACACCTGAATGAAATGATTAGTTCATTACCAGGCCTCTGGAGAACTTCAAGAGATGTTGAGGAGGTAATTTAGCCATTTAACTCAGCTGTGTTGGAACAAGGACACATCTAAAACCTCAAGGCCTGGGTTTGGACACCACTGTGTTAAATAAATAATGACACCATATAATACGTCATGTGTTCTTGTTAATCTGAGATTATTTTTACCAGACTGGAAGCAAGTGAACTTTCCTTTTTATATAACTGTATATATAAAATGGAGGAAGGATTAACAAGGCTAAAGCATTTGTTTAATCTGGCATTACTCAATATCATCTCTCTTGCATGGTCACTAGGTTACATTGGCCTAACCAATCACATCTTGTTTGTAGCGTAAGAATGACTCAAAACTACGAGAACCATTTTTGTTGGTTAGATGTAGAGGCTAACTTTAAGGTAAAAGTTAATTTTAAAACACATTTCAACAAGGACCTGCAAAAATGCTACTTCCTACACCATATGGATTTTTTCAATGAAAGTTTGGAGCATGCTGTAAATGGGCTCTACAAATTTAATCAAGCACTGATTTTTTCCATTAGATTGTCATTTTGATTTGAATTAAGGGCAAGAATAAAGCAAATGGAACATCCAGAATAGGAAAGAGTCCTCTTAATGCTTAAGAGAAGCTATCTATACCAGCGGTCCCCAACCCCTCGGGTCCATGAGTCGTTTGGTACCAGGCCGCGAGAGTTGAGGCTTGAGTGTGAAAGTTATGGTTTTCAGGATTTTTATCGCTATTTTTTTTATCGTTTTTCTCATTAACTCTGTTTCCCTGGGTCTATTCCCATGTTGTGGATAAATCTTCTTTTTTTTTTTGCTACCGATACTGGTTTTATTTTTAAAGGCCGGTCCGTGAAAATATTGTTGGACATAAACCGGTCCATGGTGCAAAAAAGGTTGGGGAATGCTGATTTATACCATCTTCCACACAGAAGAAAATATCTTTAGACCTTTAGAACTAGTCATTTAATTAGCATTCCATCATTTATAATATATTATCATTCACAAACAAAACGGTAGCAAAGTGAATTTACTACAGCAGTGACTGAGATGTAATAAAAATAAAATTAAAAGCTTACTGAGTGAGATACTGAAATAGAAGGAAAAAAACATGGGGAAGAAAATGGTTAAGAAGCATGGACAGGAGGATGGCTGGTGTCCTGTTAGGGAGAGATTAGTGTCATAATCCCCTGGAATCATCTTCCATCCAGCCTGTTTATTACTGGCTGTCTAATGTGTTTTAGTAAATGCATACAGAGAAGCCCTCTGAGCCAGAACCTGTGGAAAACCCACACTCGTGCAGAGCATCGCACTTGACAAATATTAAATGGGTGATATCGCTCCAAATAAAGAACAAGGTCAGTGCAGGGTCAGACAGCAGTGCCCCATGCCAGAGTACTCGCATGTATGTACTTGCGTTACTACTAGTAGGCCATGTTAATCAGGTTTAGAACTGTGCTCACAGATTTCTGGCGATAACTCAAAACATCCTGAAGCTTCGAGTCCTGTCCCTCCATTTCAGCATCAAACTCTGTCACATGTTAGCTAGGTAATTTTAAAAAATGACCTATTTAAAGCACTGGCGAGGAAAACTGTGGTCTGAGTCAATATTACACAAAAATCACAAGTTTATTCACAGCTGCTAGCTGCATGACGCATGCCCAAAGTTGTGGCTGTGGCCCTGGTTATAGAATACTTAATAATTTGTTCTTATTTTTATTACTACATTTGCCATACGAATACTGAGATCATTTTCTGAATGGTTTCAAACATAAGACTCACAAATGGGTAAAAGTTTGCTATGAAATCAGTAACTTAAAAAACATAACAGTCTCACATCTGTGCTCTTTAACTATAATAGCTACAAAGAAGTAATCGCCCAATCACACGGCATCACAGCACCCATTAGGCACATAGACATGGTTGAAAAGACCTCAAATTGAGAATCAGAATTAGGAAGAAAGATGATTTTTAGTGTCGCTGAGCATGGAATGTTTGTTGGTGTCAGATGGGCCGGTGTAACTACTGTCTAGAGATGGCACGATACCACTTTATTATTATGTCCGATACCGATACCGATATGAATCCGATAGTGTTTTTTAATCAACAAAACTGTTTTTTTAAAATATCTTGCTGCATTTTGTATAAGTTCATACTCAAGTTTAAAACAACAACTACACTAAAGCTATTCTGTTATACCTGTATGCAAAAAAAAATATTTCATAGTTCAGCAATACTGATCAATCTAATAAACTTAAACCTACACCATCCTCCCTATTCTGGTATTTTAAAGAGTACTTAGCGTAAATATTAAGCAACCTAACTAATAGGGTTCCAACTCCCAGCAACAACAAAAATAAATAAATAAAAAATAGGGAACCACCCCTCACGCTCCACCTCATGATGCTTAATTGACGTAATCAACCTTAATTTGATGCAGTGTGAAAAAAAATGCACAGAAATCAATTATTTTTCAAGAAATATTAAATAGATTCAACATCTTTCTTCAACAAAATTGCAGACTGCACAGATGGTACCTTCCCAAAGGAAAAAGTACTATAGCTTACTAGGGTATATATATTAGACTTAATAGTTACTATATACAGTAATTGACTTCTATTCATTTTACATCAAATTAAAACTTTGGGTGTCAGATAATTATTTATTAAAAGCTAGACATTTTAAATGAGAATAAGAAAGAAAAGTATGTCTTTGTGCCCCCTTTTCCCTGTTAATGCCCTATCGGCCCCCCTGGCTAAACTTTGCTAGATCCGCCCCTGCACAGTTACCAGCCGTCAGCTGCGTAGAAAAGGATCGTGGTGTAGAAAGTAATATTAAATAAATTCTAACAACAGCTTATCAAGCTTAAACGTGCTGCTGTTGTTCAGCCGCTGGTTTCCTCTTTCTGGTGCAAAGTGGGCCAAAAACAAACAAAAGAGACAGACTCGTGACAGAAAAGCCGATCAGCTGATCATTAAGCAGTTTCATGATTAAAGTAGCAGCAAGAAGAGGCAGTCGCTTGTTAAGCTTAACGCAGGAATGCTTTACAAACATTCAGAGATGGACTTACACACTTGCTTTATTTCTCTCGGGGATAACTTTGTTGGAGATGAAATGCCGGGTTGCTAGCGAAGCTCCAAATGCTATCCAGACCACCGACAGGTCCCGCATGCCACAGCCGCTCTATCACGTGATGCATACTGCTCCGACGTGCTAACGTTCTGAGGCGAGTTACGGCGTGTTGCAAGTTTTGTGAGGTGCTTTCGTGATATTTAATGGATCGGATTACATTTTTTATTTCTCTCCGATATCCGATCCAGTAATTTAGGTCAGTATCGGACCGATACCGATACGTAATATCGGATCGGTCCATCTCTACTACTGTCTACTGAAATTTACCTACAACCATAGGGTGGACTAAAAAAGAGAAAATATCCAGTGATCGACAGTTCTCTGGGTGAAAATACTTGAGTCTCAATTTCTGCTGCAACGTTTAGATGGTACGGTCAGAATTTGGTGAAAACAACATGAAAGCAGCCTGACCCCTGAATCAAAGGTTCAGGCTGCTGGTGGTATAATGGTATGGGGTATGGCAAACTTCGGCATCCTTAGTAACGATTAAGCATTATTTAAAATGCCAAAACATGTCTAAACTCACCTTAACCCAGCTTTTTCAACAGCAAAAACCTGATATACGTAAGGTGTACCAAGGGGCAGGGTTACGCTTTACAAGTTAAAATAATAGTTAATACTCACAAAGTTGAGAAGAGTGATAAAATGCTGAAAAAGCTTGAGCAACACAGTTATGCTTTTTCATTTAATTACAGATAAATAGATGACAAAAAATAGCCATAACTTAAATTGTTCTTTTAGAACAGACAGTTTGGCTTCATCAACTTACCTTGGAGATATCGCCATCGTGGCCTTCTAAGGTTGCAAGACACTGATGTGTTGCTGTACTGAACACTCTTGCTGTCCCTGAGAGTTTCAGGAAGAGAGAGAGTTTTCAGCACACAGGCACAGCTTACAAAATTATAAAAATGTTGCTTTTGTTGTGGAAAATCCAAATTTATACAACCAATAAAGCTTAGGTATTTGTACAAATTTTTAAATGTAGAATCTTAAATTCTGCACAAGTAGTATATTTAGGGTACGTTTGTAATACCGTGCTAGTACAGTTTTACTCGGAATGTAATCTTTTGACTGAAGTGTTGTCTCACCATCAGCTGAGGCAGTAGCAATGAGTTGACCACTTAAATCAAAACACACATCCAACACCTCTTCTTTGTGTCCAGTGAGGGTGGCAACACACTTCCCACTGACAGTCTCCCAAACCTGCGAACACATTTACACATGTCAAAAAACAGAATTATACATGCACACAGGAGCGAACTACATAACTGGAGCATGCATTCATCATGGAGCATGGAAACACCAAACTCATGAAGTATGCATTTGTGAATGTAGCATTAAACTCTGAAGTGGCTTTATTATGGCCATCTCCCTCAGAGGAATGCAGCGAGGTGGATAATTCTCACTTGTGAGCGTGACTCATCTTGGTGTAAAATAAGGAATTAGGATTTAATTTTTCTCCACAGACCTTAGACACAGGAGTTTGCGAGAGAGTGGGAAATTGAAGCGAGCAAATACAAATGCTCAAACAACTGAGATGGTAAATACGAACAGACATGTTTTCAGCCTCTGACAAGAGATTTTGGCAACAAAAAAAGATATTTGGGCTTAATGATAGCTTACTTTGCAGGTTTTATCCATGGAACCAGTAACAATCAAGGAGCAATCCCAGTTAAACTGAGTATTGCTTATTTCTCCCATGTGACCAATGAGTGTGTGGACCCGTCTAGGGGAAAAAACAAGGAATTGAACAGCAATTAATCAGTCTCACAGCTTTGTAAGGCAGAATCGATAAGTGTTACATTCTCTGTGAAGTATAAATGATGACACATGCACAAATGGATGCATAATATTGATAACTTCTGACCTTCCTGAAGCAACATCCCATATAGTGACTGTGTGGTCGAAGGAACCGGTGACAAGTTGACTACCCACTGTGTTAAAGCACAGCGAGAGGACCTCTGCGGTGTGACCCTGAAAGGAGATGGCATTATCTCTCACTGTCTTATTTCGTTTCTCCCTCACAGCCACTCACATTATGGATGAAAAAGTGCATCATAAAATGCAAATATTTACCAACCACAACAGTGTGGCTTATACAGCTGATTATTTTCACCTTGTGTGTGTGTGTGTGTGTGTGTGTGTGTGTGTGTGTGTGTGTGTGTGTGTGTGTGTGTGTGTGTGTCCCTGCAGAAAAATGGGGCTGTTGTCCTAGAAGGAACTACATCAAAGGCAGCTTTAAGAACTTTGGCAGGTGTTTATGTCTTACTGTCCTTGGACGGATTTGTCCCAACAGTGCAAAGTACAGCCTCCAAACTTTAGAAGTGTGTATTTAAGATCAGAATGAGTTTGAAGGTAAGTGTGGTCCAATTCATAAGTGGTGGCTTGCACCCACTTTAATCACCTGTCCCTCATTTATTTTACTTTTTAGGGCTCATTTGAGGTATTTTGTGCATAATGTTTAATGTTTTCAAAGGCGTGTGCAGTCTGGTAACTAAATGGTGTCATAGCTAGTGTGAGCCCCCCACATTATAGTCTCCTGAATTTGTTAACATAAATACACAGGTTAGCCTTACCGGTAGATTTATAAAATTGAAGTTAACTTAAAAAAAAAGAACAGATTAAAGAATCTGCACTCAGTTGACTGCATTACTGATTCTTCATGGTGTGAGAAGCTAAGTGAATTGAGAGGGGCAGAGAGTTGCTCCTTGCTGAGACAGATTCAGCAAGTCACACTATAAACCCACGTGCAGTCTGCACATTAAAGAGGTCTCACTACTCCCCTTAGAGAGGGCTATCAGTGCCTTCTTAAAGAGTTTGTCACATTCCTATCAAATGTTGGTCATCAAGAGCACTTGACAGCATTCATGTCACTTTCACAAGTGACTAAAAAGTTAATGAATCATCATTAATGAATGAATGTGGGTCACAACACCAGGATAAGAAGAGCAAGAAAAGCAATGGGACAGAGTTTGAGGAAAAGGTATCTCACAGTCAGTGTGGCCACTTCCTCCCCACTCTCCACATCCCACAGCTTGGCAGTGGTGTCCATACTGCTTGTGGCCACCAGCGTACTCTGGGGGTTGAATGCAAGACACACCTACAAAATTTTTTTACTTAGGTTGTATTGTATTCTGTAGCAAAGCTGAATAGTATATGGCATATGAACTGCTCTAAACTCTCAATTTGAAACAGTTGTTTCTATTCTTGGCTCGATATGGCAATTTACTGAATATGGTCATCTCACCCATATGCTTACAGCAGCCCAACCCAACCTCTTGTTTGTGAGTCAATCACAGCCAATCAGGAAAAAAAAAGCTCATTTAGAGAGCAGATGGACTTAATGGGAGTAAAATATCTTGCCTCAGACAGAAGATGAAAAAAGCTGCCCAAGGCTCAGTCTTAGATAAATGGATATTACTTGTAAATCATGCAAAGCTACTATGAGTCCAAGAATAAAAATGTAGACAGTAAATAAAATAATAGGTCCTGTTAAAGTACTAAACACAATACCATAGCAGAACCTTGTAGTTTAAATGCTCACATAGCTTAAATACTGACTTGTGTTTCAAATATGAATCAGCAATCAACCAAAAACTAACACAAATGAAATTCATTTAAAACAAATCATTATACATACTATTTCTCCCATGTGTCCCCGATAAGTATGAAAACATTTGCCAGTCTCGGCACACCACAGTTTGCAGGTCTTATCAAAAGAGCCAGTCGCAATCTTGTCTCTAAGTTTAATAGAGAGAAAATAAAGCAATGAAACATTCATTTTTAAGATGAAACACTCATGTGAATCTTCAATTGAGCAATGCGACCCTCCCATGTTATAAAGGTTTTCCTAAAACAGCTCATTACCCATAAGGGTTGTTGAACGCAATTGCATACACCACGTTTCTGTGACCCTCTAGCACGTGCAGCTCTGTGCCTGAGGCTGTGTCCCAGACTCTACATGTCCTGTCGTAACTTCCAGTTATAAACCTGCAGTGTGAGAGAAAAGGGGGAATTGCACAAACTGTAATTTCTCCTAAACAACAAAGTGGCAGGTTACTCAGTGTTAAAAACTCACCTTGACCCAGATTTGTCAAAGGCAACATTTGTCAGTGGCAATATGTGTGCCTTGAGCTCCTGGAAAAAAAATTGAAACTGGTCTGAAAAATCCAATTTAGTTATTGACTACATTCATCTACATTCATCTTTAAAATTACCCATGTAACTTCTGTATGTATAATTCATTTGACTATAATGTAATGTGAAGGCTTCTTCCTCCTGGCCCACCACTGGTGGAATAACTTTCTGCTCTCATTAAGAACAGAAAGATCTCCCAATTTTTAGATGCAGGCAAAATAAATTCAGTAACCTCTGATCTCCAGCAATGCAACTGACCCTGACTTCCATTTAACTCCCCTAATACATGCGCATGAAGCACTACCGACTTAGTAACCCGATCACTGCTGCTTTCTACTGCCTCTCTAAAACAGTAATTACTAATTTCACAAATCACATTCCACATATGTAAATAGCATCTGCTAATCGCCGAGCTAATGGATTGTGCCCGTTTATTCATGCTGCAAAAATGTTACTGTTCCAACAGTCTGTGTGGAATAAAAGCATTAATATCATAACTCAATAAGCAACACGTGTGCCATGTTTCACAGACAAAATAAACTTTAGTTCATAAAACCATTCTTTCATTAAAATCAAGGTTACAAGGAGCACCAAATAACTTTCAACAATGTGAGGGAAATAGATAAATGTCTTCACTAGCAGGAATTCCTTGTAAGCATCATGTCTACGTGTTGATTTATTTACTGCTGTTTTGTGTCTGACCTTGGAGAAACAGAACCTGTGATGGTCCTGCTGGGTCTGTTTCTTCTGAAGTCGAATAACCAGCTGTTTGACCTGATCAGCCTGAGCCTTTGTGACCAGAGGCTCTGATTGTCTGATTTCTTCCACCAACTCATCTGGATTTGTTCTACAATTTTAAAACATAAAATGTGATAAGTCTTTTTGTAATTTTAGGTAGCTTGATGGCAAAAGAGAGAAAAAAAATGTAACAAAAACAAAAAACAAAAACAAACCAAAAAAACCCAACACATTAGGAACAGAAAAGGGAAAGAAAATGGAAACAGAAATGGGGTTTAGGATAACAAATACAGCTTAACAAAGATTACATTTACTCTACAATTTCACCAAAGTATGTTTAATGTGTGTGAAAATATCACTCCCCGTGTTGTCAGATTTACACCCTTGTGACTGCCAGTAAGAGCTGAAATGAGTAATGTTGGTATTCCTAAAGTAAATGGGTCATTTAAAAGAAATCTCTAGTCTAATGTAATGCCACATTAAGGAATTGCAACTCCTCCACAGTCCAACTTCATAATAAATGCAACATGGTTACAAAGTGTTTTTAAATAGGGTTTTAGTCTGCAGAAAGTCGTTTTTTAGTGGTAATGTAACCGTAGGTTGTAACAGTTTGTTATTGACATTATCTTCAGTGCTGAGATCTCACACACACACACACACACACACACACACACACACACACACACACACACACGCAGAGAGAGAGAGAGAGAGATCCTAACAGGTACAACTCACGCACTCTGGAGTCAAATCCAAAAGATCTATTGATTTGGTCCTCAGAAATCCTCCTTTCTCGTATTCAAGGATTATACCTGACAGCATAAAAAAATGAAAAATAAAAGAATTAAAGAGAGGCTGACATTACAACACCTGGGTTCTAGTTAACTTAACCTGTTATGTCTTATAATGACAAACTATCTAACCCTTCTGCCGATTTGAGTTTGAAAAGCGTTAGCTAACTAGCTAATGTCAGACAAACTTTAGGCCATAACGATTTAATATGAAGGTTAGGCACAGTCATATGACCTCCATGAGAAGCAACATTTTAGATAGGACTACAAACATAACTTGTATTACCTGGCGGATAATATCTGAGGAGAAACCGCTTGAGTTTCATTCTGACTTCTAATAAGGTCCTATCACATCACATAGAAACAAACCGTTGTTATGGCGACCGGACTCGCGTCCGTTGTATTAGGCAGGCGTACCGCGCATGCCTAATACAAGCCTTAAAGGACCGGTGTTGTACCAAAAAGTGCTGGTCTGCCAAAAAGTGATTTCAAGTTTCTATGTGTGTTTTTTGTTTTTTTTAAATTATGTGTAATGTCTTTACATATATTGATAAATAGACTTTAGACTATATATAAAATAATTACCAGTTTTGCAAATATCTTTATGACCCGGTCCTTTTTGGCCAGTTAAAATATCTATATTGTCATGCTGCTGCTGTCTTTGCCAGATCGCTCTTAAAAAATAAAAATTTAATGCCAGTGAGACTTTCTTAACGGGATACATAGGCTAAAGGATATATAACAGTCACTTCTAAAATTCTACCTTGTGACAGGAATGTTGTGTGTAGCTCAAGATGAGTTGATATCATTCATGAAGATTACTTTTGACATATATTTCAAATATTATAGGCCAGCAAGTCATGTACAGCAGTTTAAACACGGGCAGTCACTTTTTGGCAGACGATCACTTTTTTTTAATGTCTAATATATTTGCTCTAATAGATTTTAGTAAACTAGATTTACGAAAGGGTTGTATATAAAATAAAAAAATAACCTGTTTTTCAAATAACAGTTTTTCAAGGCTCTGCGTTATTAGTCCTACTTTATAATAAATTAAGTCCTTTTTTAAGCATAAATGATGTGTACATAACTGTGATGCAAGGTTTTTATAGTTAATTAAAGCTAAAAAATTGTAGCTTTTACCTTGTCACAAGAATGCTCTCTCCTGCTCAAAATGACTTATCACTACTAAGACATATGTTTCTGGTATGTTTGCCAGATCAGGAGCTAACAAGTCATTTACGACACCATCAGTTTTTGGTGAATGCTGTAAAACACCTTTTTGGGAGAATCCCTTGTTTTTTCATTTCATTTCAATTCATAAATAAATAAATACGCAAAATTTCCCAATTTTCCAAACTGATTGATGAGTAATGAGTTTCAAAGTTTATTATACACTGTAGTTTGTTCATGAACTGTGGTGCATACCAGAAAGCAGCTCTCTGCTCTCTGTAACTCATTGACAGTTATCACAAACACTTGATTGCAGTTGTTGCTGCTAAGGGTGGCCCAACCAGTTATTAGGCGTAGGGTGCAATCACTTTTTCACACAGGGGCCATGTAGGTTTTGATTTTTTCCCCCTTAATAATAAACACTTTTATTTCGAAACAGCATTTTGTGTTTAAATGTATTTCTGGTGGCATTCATATGTAAATTTGTGTGATGGTCTGAACCATTTCAGTGTAATAAACATACAAAAAAAAACGGAAATAAGGAAGGAGGCAAACACTTTTTCACCCCACTGTATGCGGATGCCTTCATTTTGCCTGCAATCTCTAGCCAATCTTTTCATATAACTCAATGCAGTGCGTGCAGTCATTTGTAGTAATAAATTGTTTGAAAACATCCAAATATTTCATGTTTTGTTTTATTAGCAGCTCTGTCTTTATACTCTGGGAGGGAATAGTCACTTGTATATTCCCAATATCAGTATGCCTATTAAGAGTGTGAGTCACTCCAATCCCACAATAAATGACTGTACTTATTTCCTCACCGTTCTTCTTGTCTGTTGCTCCCTGACAGGTCAAAGTCTGAATAAGGCATGTGTAGATGATTAAGTGTTTATATTCTAGCTACTTACAAGGTAACCTGACGAAAGCTCAAAGTGCTTTGGTATTAAACCAGATAGTGTTTTTTTAAATCAAGACTGAAGTGCAACTAAAAACAAAAGGAAACAGCAGGGAAATCTTGCTGAGATACTAACATGGGGTGCTGGGCCAAGTTGAAGTCATCTGGATGGGTTTACCCCACAGCCATCCTGTCACTCTATGGATTTTTTGCAAACTGTAGGGTTGCAGAACCTTTCCTGACACCATATCTTATTGGACCACGCAAGAACATTTCTGAAGAAGTGGTAAGGACTACGGACACACTTTCTGTCTTTTATTAAAAGGCAAGGCAAGTCAAGGCAAGTTTATTTATATACCACAAATCAACAACAAGGTGAATCAGTAGTTAAAATATAAGTTTTGAAATTTAAGCTTAAAAGTGTAGATTTGGTGTTTTATTCAAATGCAGCTGAGAATAGGTGAGTCTTGGATTTACCTGGATTTAAATAAACTGAGTGTTTCAGCTGATCTGAGGCTTTCTGGGAGTTTGTTCCAGATATAAGGAGCATAAAAGCTGTCTGGTTCTGACTCTGAGAACTGATAAAAAACCGGATCCAGATGACCTGAGGGATCTGGAAGGTTCATACTGGGTCAGGAGGTCACTGATGTATTTTG